CATTTACAACCTCACAGTGGAAACTCTTGCAGGGAATAAAGGGGGCGGGGGGTCCTATTATTTATAAAAATCAATGTGGTGAATGTGATACAGCCTTTAAACATACCACATAAGTTCGAACTTTAAGGACATGATAAGAAAAGCATCGACAATATCCCGTGGCTTTTCTTTTGTATCTAACACAATCGCAGAGCATTAGTTCAAATATTATCGCTATAGGATTACTGAACTAATGCATTCAACGATGAATCAATATGGGTAAAATAATATACTAACCAATTGCTTTGATATCAACAGAGGGTGGAAATGACCAAGGCGTGGCGGCCATTAGTATTAATTATTTAATGAAGATTTGGGGAATAATTTCTAAATTTTGCAGCATAATGGATAAATAATCCCGGCACAGACGTGATTAACAACTAAATGGTCATTACAATTAATTATATATTAAACTACCTGCAGGAAAAGGAATTCTAAAATTAGACATGGTTCAATGGCTAGCTACAGTTTAAAACAAGATCTTGGTAGACTACAAACTTCATGAGCCCAAAATTCTATCACAAAATATCGCCTTATGCATTAAAATAAAGATATTATAATGTTCATGTCATAATATATATACAGTGGGCCGTTTACAGATATAGTGCTTCTATTTTCATATGGAAAATTCAAGAAGTTGGGGTCGTACTAAGACTGAAATATGTTAATAATGCAGAATTCATGTTTTTTTGTTTTTTTTGGTTTTTTTTGGCCGAGTCCTAAACAGATTTTATTTCTTGGTAAATGAAAAGGACGAATGCTTCCCGGAAGTAGTCCCAACAATATGCTCTGGCGCGAGAGGAATAGGACACTAAAACAATGACCTGTTCGATCATCTTAAAGAAAACTGCCGAATCTCGTATAGTTTCAACAAATTATTATTAAAACAGGTTAATCCACCATAAACAAACACAATTAATAATGATGATTTTAAATGCTTCTGCTATCTGTTATTGAAACTGTGGAGAAAAAGGGAAAACGCTAGGTTTATGGATAGCTATACCTCCCAACAAATATCAAATAATTTGACACAACAATGATAATTTGTCAGGTGTACCATCATAATTTTTGGTATCTAATTTTGTTGAACACCCCTGGCACACAATATCTGGTTAGACATAACGGTCGCTGGCAGAATAATAGTGTACATCCAGTTCCATCGACTCTCATGTATTCAAAGTACATATACATGTTAATTTTCTTTCAAAAGATTTGATATCATAGTTTCACGGGAGATTTTAAGGAGTGGGATTGTTTAAACTTAGTTGACACAACAGATTGCAAATTTCACGACCTGTCAGTTCGTTGACTTTTAATATAATGATTAATACTAACACGGTTTGACCCACCTGACTTCATATTTAACGTTGATCAAGGTGGACATTTCTCTGACAGAAATTACCTAGATTTAAACATTTATACCAGACGGATTAACCCTTTCAATACAAGTACTTTATTAACAACAGAGTTTAACACACATTGATACCTCTAATGGGTTAATAAATAATCTTATTTAGCCAGTGTCCCCCATATAAATCAAATTCAAACGTGGTAAATTAACACACTTTATTCTTCTTTTCTTTTTTTGAAAATGATATAAACAAACACACATTAGACATTACTAGGCCAACATGTTGAATTTTTGAACAATTTATGACACGAACAGTGTACATGTACAGAGGAGTCGTGGAGTCGAGTGGGCAACAACGCAATGGTAGAGTTATAGTGGTCGCTCACCCGATATTGCCGTCGTATAATGTTGTTATTTACAACTTTTAATAATTGAAGCAATTACGTAATTACTTAGTCTTCGAACAACGGATATTTTCAAACTATTCAAATTGTCATTGTGACAATTTACTTGATCAGATAGACTTTCACTATATATATAGACGGATTGGGTGGGTCAACAGAAAGTTTTCAGCCGATGATCTCAATTGACATTCTTAGATAAAACTGGGTAATTTCAGTCGTATTTGAATTTATTCACAGACGAGGGGGCTATATCCCCAGAACGTATATGGGATAATGTCAAATGTGTGTTGTAGACTGCAAGTGTTTCAGTGGGTGTTTGGTTAACGTCCTTGATTGTTATCAACACGATGATAAGATATCTAAACTAGGCCTCGATCATTTTGTTTCAGTTTGAAAATATTTTGTATTCGCGGGGATTTCGAGAAGGAACGAAATACCACTTTTGCAAGAATCTGCTAAAAAAAAAAAAAAAAATACCCCGCCAGCTACCGTTTATTTTATTATAGACTATTAACTTAAAATCAATCTATGTACGACTAACGGTATCTGTTTTCTATGGAAGCCTATAACTACCATTCATAATTTCTACTTTTCGCCTCTTCAGAACACGAAAGTCGAAAAGTAGAAGTTACGACAAAATGTGAGGCGACAAGACGGTATACAAGCCAAAATCAACTCGAAAATAGGAAATTAAGAAATAACACACCGCGATAATAGCGCCCCCCGTTTTTTTCTTAATTTCTACTTTTCGACTTGCATTTTGGCTTGTATACCGTCTTGTCGCCTCACATTTTGTCGTAACTTCTACTTTTCGACTTTCGTGTTCTGAAGAGGCGAAAAGTAGAAATTATGAATGGTAGTTATAGGCTTCCATAGTTTTCTACCTGCGTCTCCATGCGTGTCAATCGTCTCTAACACTGATTATTATTATTACTGTCTTTATGACAAGAAGAACTATATAGAAATATACATCACGTAATAATGATGTTTTTTTTCGCAGTAATTGTATAGTAAACGAATACAGACTAACATTAATTAGACCTCCCCATAGAAAATTAATTGTCTAGATCTAGACATGTTACTAAATTTTAGTGGGATTATTAATGTTATTACACGTTCTTATACAATTTGTAGCCTTATTATAAAATACAGGTCAAATTAGTTCACATAATATATACATTTTTAAAAAGGAAAGAAATCTTCTATGTGGCGAAAGAGTGGACTGCCAGTGGATTCTCTCTGTTTAACGCATGTCACAATCTAGATTCTTACCACAAGTAAATGAAATGAAATGGGGTTTAACGTCCTACTGTTCTGCTCCTTTACTGGGCTAATGAAGACGGGTATACGCCATACAGTGTGCTATGAGGGAAATTTTTCCCGGGCAGCGGCACTATCGCCTACTCTTGTATCGAATTCCAACTGCCAAGGGATCTTTTACGTGCATTCCAATGTATACACGGGACCTCGGATTTTCGTCTCATCCGAAGGACTAGACAGCTGTCCTTGTCAGGCCCTCCGTTCTGCACCACTGACAAGGGGAAACCACGTCGGAAAATCCAGATGAACTTTCTCGGCCAATGCAGGGATCGAACCAGCGAGCCAGCGTCTTAACCACCTATCCACCGTGGCTCCCCTTACCACACAAAACTCAATCATTTAAATAATTATGTCAAAATCACAGATTTGTTGTCATATATACTATGCAGCATAGGTGTTGAGAAATGAAATGAAATGAAATAGGGTTTAACCTTCTACTGTTCTGCTCCGATCTGGATAATGAAGACGGACACACGTCAGTCAGTGTATTCCAATGGACATTTTGCCCTGACAGGGGTTCTTTAACGTGCACGCCAATAATATGTACACGAGATCTAGGTTTTTTATCCCATCCGAACGACTATACGTTGTCCCTTACCAGGCCCTCCACCACTGACAAGGAGGAACCACGCCGGAAAACCCCAACGTGGATCAAACACGTGACCTCTATGTTAGCGAGCCAATGTCTTACTCATTGAACCACTATGGCTCCCTTTTGAGAAATGAAATAGGGTTTAAAGTCCTACTTTTTTTTACACCAACCAGGATAATAAAATACGCTATACAGTGTCGGGACAGCGGCATTTCCGCTTGAAATGAAATTAAATGGGTTTTAACGTCTTAGTTTTCTGTGTCAGCTGGGATAATAAAGACGGCATACGCCATGCAGTATGTGTTAATGAGGGGTATCTACCTGGATAACGGCGGTTCGCCTCCTCAACGAATTTCAACTGCCAAAGCTTATTTTACGTGCACTTCGGTTTTTCGTTTTCTAAGCGAACATCTAGATTATACTCACTGAACCATTGAGACCATTCTTAATCCTTTACTACGTTCAACTAATATAGCATGTAGAAACACTTCCCTCATTAAAATACATTATTATTCTATGGCGGTGTACTCTGCTCAAAGTGAACGAAGTTGACCAATATTTTATATTTTGAATGCTCGGCTTTCATGTTCGTAATAAATGATTGAATATTTTTTGGCCCCCCAGGTCGGAATAATTACGTCATTGCCATAATGTTGTTTTAATGTGAAATTCAGTCTATATTACATGCCTCATCCTTTAATCATATAAAGCAAACACTTCATACGTGGTTTATTAAAATAGTCTGCCACCGTATGAAGACATGAGATAAGTCACATATTTTTATTGATTAAAGAAATACCAAAAAAATAAATAATAATCCCTGTATGAGTATATTCGCTGGTGGGCGTTAGTTTGAAACGTTGGTTTTCTTTTTTAACAGTTTAACTATTTGTACATAAAAAAAAACGAGCTGCCGTGTGACAATATGACAGTATGAATATTAAAGTTAAAACGTTTAGTCTAACTCTAACATTCTCATAAAAATAAAATTAAGGTACAACATAAGATGGCTTTCCGTTTATCAAATATTAAAATTTATTAAAGTGAATACATTTAATCTAAAAGTCTCATATTTAAAAAAAAATTATGGAAGAAAAATTGCACTGTTTCCGTTTATAAATATGGTTATGGGTGTCATGTACTAGGTTGGGTATGGGTCCGCACTTTATCTAAAAATAAAATCTAATTTAACTTCTTCATTTATTGGCGAAGTTCTGATATAATCAAAGCCATGTTTAACCCCTGATGAAAGTAATAAGCGTTGAGTGTTGAATATAATACTAATACTACTTACATGTTATCGGTAGGCCTATAATCCTATAAACTGATGTTTAAACCCAATACAACACGATATAACCTCAAAATCACCCAGTCAATATACCACACAGGGTCTTATATTCAACACTTTTACTAGGTATTCTAAACTATGATATATCTAATATACACTAGTTAATATCCCACCTTTCTCTTCTATAATCTCGTTATTATATGACACTTATATCATGATAAACAATAATACGTCATACCACTCGTCTCGCCTCTTTCTTTATATTCTAAATTACCCACTCGTGCAGCGTCAAATTTCAACACTCTTTACGACCTGATCTCAAGACTACTTCACCTGTACTCGAACAATCCGGACAAGTAAGGTTTGATTGCATGACACTAATGAATCTTATTGTTTAACACGCTAATAAATCTATATCAATAGCCTTGATCACTAGTTACGTTAGGCGTGTAACTGCAGAGTATAGGGTAGTTTATGATCGAGGCTAAATTAAGGGTGAGTATTACAGACATATATGGGGGGAAAATATAAGTGTTTAATATTATGATAATAAGATTAGCAAGATTAGTTTAGAAAGGGGTCAGACCCCCATCGCCAAGTTCAAATGTTTATGCAATGTAGACTTAATGAATATATAATTATCTGAAACTATACATATTATAATAAATACATCCACAAATCCACCACGGATATCCTTATCTTCGAGGAGGCCCTCTTCGTGGACAGTTTAAGAAAAATGATATCTGGGGATAACACAGAATTAAACACAAACAAACTTCACCAATAAACTATAAATTACCAAAATGATCTAAGCTGAACCATATTTCGAAAGATAGCCATAAGGTCAGTGCACACTAATAAAGAAAACGACCGGGATTAAAGAAAGTTGTCTGCGATATCACCTCGGTGGAAGCGGACGTAAAATACAACTAACTAAGAAGAAGATTAAAGAAAATCTTGGTTGTCTTCAACAATGACCAGGGTACTTATTACATTAATACTGGCTCGTATGTCACATTTACAATGTAAACGTAAAATCGCCATAACGTAAGCTAGATTTAATAGATTTGAACAAATTTGAGACAAAAATACATTTGATAAAAGTACATTCTATATATTCAACCTTTATTCCCGGATCTTTAGGCTGTAAGAACCCCCACTGTTACATTATTAGACACCGGAATTTCACATTTTATTTCCTTAAAGATACATTAGTTAAGAGTTTAATAAAGAGTTGGTCATTCTTGCTATAATAATTCAAAAATAGATGATGAAAAAAGAAAATGTTGAAAATTTCAGACAAATTACTTCATTCTCAGCCAAATTATCATTGTTTGTAGTTTTGACAAGATCTGTACATGGTGGTAACCAGGGCACTGGTATAATCGAGACTTAACCTCGCTTTCCCATTTTTGAATTAAATTTTTAAATGGCGAACCGTTTTAATCTAGTTAAAATCTCGGGTATCCGATGCCATCGAGAGTCGATTATAGTCTTGTTTTGTTAATAAATGTCTAATTAATAGTTTGTATAACATTTCAGGCCTAAAGAAAGACCTGCAATAGGCAGATTTAGCTCTTGCATAGTGTATGTTTAAACAAAATCCAAATTTAGAAATTTCATCAACCAGAAATATTCAGTTAAAATACAAAAATTCAATGGAGGGTCCAACAATTTTTTTTTTTTCTCCACGTTTTATAAGACCTACCAAGTGTTCCAACAAGAATGTAGATCCACGTCACATATTGGATGTACTTGAACCGATTACTTTCCCAACCTAAAGGGATGATAGAAAATTTCGAATAATTTTCCATATATTCTCCTGGAGTATACAATTTTCTACGTAGATAAAGGTTGTGTCAGGTATTTTAACACTATTAACGTTTTACAACTTAGGTTTAAGGAGCTATTGAGACAAATCTCCCCCCCTCGATAAATCGTCATATCGATAAGTGGACCCTTGATTAAATTATATCACAAATTGTATCTATCATAAACACCTTATCTAACAAATCATGATGTTATACATACAGGAAACGATAGATTTATTGTCCTAAATATTACATAAAGGTAAAAAATATTGATGAATGGAACCCATAAATACAATAGACAGTTCCCCATCGCATGTATTTAAAACTTTCTACACAATCAAATGCAGATAAATGTCCTTCATTCCCCATATAAGTGTAAAGCTAAACTTTTAACAGGTAAAGTGATAATTAAAGTTTTAATGCAATAAGTACATGTACATACATATAAAACGAATGTAAAGTTTAGAACCAATAATTCTTATATTTAATTTATATCAGTGTCACGTGTAACATAATTAATTATTATCTCATGGTAATAACATATTTATTATGGAGAGATTGTTATTAATCTAATTGTAGGTCAACAACTTAATTGTTACATTAAATTACTGTTAAATGGATTATAATTATAATGCAGATTTAAAGGTCAACAACCGATTAATATTACTACACCTCGTAATTCAATCTATAGAACAAAGGGTAAATTAGAGTTTGTGTGAGGTATTTTCTTGGTGTGTTCCCACTTAGCCGGCAGACTGTTATTCCTTTGATTGATCTTAAAACTATAGTCTGTTTAAAAGTAGTCACTCAAGAACTGTTCACTAGTGTTCAGCATTAATGAGCTCTTAATCCCTCTTAATAAAATTTATTAACCAACTAATTAATGACATTTTGAACACAGTTCATGCCGGCGTTATGATTTCAAACATGAATTCAATTCACTATATTAATATAAATAGATGGTCGATCTGTGTCGAAATTATATTTATTTTAAAATGGCAAACGTTCAGGTTAATATTTAGGTTAACTTAATAAAACAAGAACAATCCTATGTCGAAATCACCATTTCACAGATATTATTTGGTGGTACCAAAAGGCCTCGAGTTAAGAAATATCGACAACTTGATACAAGAATTGAACATTTGAAAGTGTAAATCTGTATGGAACAAATATTTCCTATTTAGTGGGGCTGTAAAATGATTGTTATGTTGTAAGGCATTTATTTATAAATTATATAATGCTATTTAATAAAAGTTAAATGTGTAAATTGTAATGCATTTTTATATGTGTAAATCATTTAATGTTATTTAATAAATATTAAATTTGTTAAAATCAATATATTTTTATATGTGTAAATCATTTAATGTTATTTAATAAATATTAAATTTGTTAAAATCAATATATTTTTATATGTGTAAGCTATTTAATGTTATTTAATAAAAGTTAAATTTGTTAAAATCAATACAGTTTTAGTCTTAAAAAAGATATGGACTATAGTTTATAACACCATTGTTCTAGGATTAACTCTGGATTAGCGGCAAAATTTGACATCAAAGCCTGTCGGCTAATAGCCCGTTCAGACGCTTAAGTTGAACTGGTTTAAAAACCCCGGGGATCGTTAAACCAGTTTAACTTAAGCGTCTGAACGCAAATGTGGGGCAAATAAACCAGTTTAATAACCCCTGCTCGCGACCTGGCTTCGAGGAGGCTTTTTATTTTAAACTGGTTCATCTTAGCCGTCTGAACGGGTTGGCTTAAAAACCTCAGCTACAGCTTGCTTCGAGCATGCGCAGTACGCAGTTAGTTCCATTCATGTGAAAATATTGGGGTCAGACAGTGCCAATGTTATCGAAAGCGTGCGAGAACCGAATAAAGAATATGAAGCTACCCATGCGCAGTTAACTCTAACCTCCGACCGAAGAGGTCAGAATAGTTAAACTGGTTTGGCTTATAGTACGTGTGAACGCAACACGATGCTGTCTTAAAAACCCCAGCGATTATGAACTGGTTTAAAAATAAGCGTCTGAACGGGCTATAAGTGGGAACACGCCATTTTCTTTTTAAATTACATAACCGCGTTCACAGTTGCAGAATCTTAATACGATAAAGTGTTAATATAAAACGTTTAAGGTGACAAAATATAACATTTACCACGATAAAACGAATTAAGAAAACAGTCTTTAATACAATAAAATGGTAACATCAAATTTCTAGGGTGATAAAATGAAACAGAATCTTAATATGATAAAGTGTTTTCACAATGATAAAAAGAAACATTTATCACGATAAAAAGAAATAAGAAAACTGCACAATCTTTCATGCATATAAAATGGTAACACAAAACTTTTATATAGGGTGATAAAACATTTACTGTGATAAAAAAAACTAGGAAAAGGAATTCTTTAATACGATAAAATAACATCTCTAAAACGATAAAATAATATAATCCTTAATTCGAGAAACGAAGAGTTCAAAATGAAATAAAAAGAAATGAAAACACTTTATAAGCGACGAGCTCTTTATTATACTGGTTCCCCCTTGTCAGTGATGCAGGACGGGGGGCCTGACAAGGACAGCTGTCTAGTCCTTCGGATGATACGAAAAACCAAGGTCCCGTGTATACATTGGAATGCACGTAAAAGATCCCTTGACAGTTGGAATTCGATATAAGAGTAGGCGATAGTGCCGCTGCCCGGGCAAAATTTCCCTCATAGCACACTGTACGGCGTATGCCCGTCTTCATTAGCCCAGCATATATAGGAGCAGAACAGTATGACGTTAAACCCCATTTCATTTCATTTCATTTCTTCATTATACGTGCACTATAAAACGCACTTTTTAATGAAAGGTAAAATGATAAAATACGATTAAATAAACTTTTTGATGAAATAAAAAACGATGTTTTTAAAATGAATGAGAAGGATAAAATGAAATCTTTAATGCGAGCAAATGAAAATCTTCAATACGAAAAGATAAAACCACCACTATGATAAAACGAAATCTTTACGATTAAACGATAAAAATAAATGTTTACGATACTAGTCCAGTCAATCTTCGGTAAATTTACGGCAACCTATAGAACAAATCGCATCAGAAGTTTTACAACATATCCATCACGTTAATAGTGTTTATCTCATTCAAGTTCGAAATCTTCTTGCTTCTGCACAAAACGTGAAATCTTTACATTCGCTACCCGAGTCAGTTTTATAGATTCCAAACAATCTCGCTTCTGGTGCATTTGACTGAGTAACGTTCCAATTTACAGACTTAGTGGATGATTTTGAGGGTCGGCTCCATTGATGCGGAGTCCATTGTTTTGGGCCCTAATTTGTCTTCCGCAAGTCTCCATTTCCCCTTTTCTGGCCACAATTCACCGCCCCCCTCACCCACAACTGCACCTGGTAGC